TTATGTGAAATAAGTCAGGCACAGAAAGAGAACTATCATATGTTCTCCCTTATATATGGATGTTGGAAAAAATGACCCCAGTTGGGAGCAGGGGTATAGATAAATATTGATTGACAGAAATAAAATTACAATGAGATAAGAAGAGCAATGTTTAGTGTTATAAAATACAGTAGGGTGGGGCCAGCAGGTGGTATGGTAGTTAAAGTGCTGGATTCCCACATGGCCAACTGAAGTTCGAGACCCAGACCCAATGACTTGAAAATCTCATTGGGTGCATGTGTGCACATGCCCAAAATCCTGAAAGGAGAATGGAAAAAAAGGGATTGTGGTGTGGCCGTTCTCCCTTGTGGGGTGATTTCTCCATTTTCCTTCTCAGTCTTTCTCGAGCAAGCACACAGGCTCTATGTCAAAAACCTAAAAGAAATTTGAAAATGCAGTAGGGAGAATGTGGTTAGCAACAACTTGCTGTATACATCAAAGTACTAAAAAAGAGGATTTTGAATATTCCCAACACAAATTAATGACAAATAATTGAGATGATGGGTATATTAATTATCTTGATTTAATCATTACATGTTGTATTTGTGTGTAAAAAATCACACTGTACCCCCACAGGTATGTAAAATTATTATATGTTAATAATGACAAATTAATTAATTAAGGATATTTTTTCCAAAAGACATTTTAGATAAATCAGAGACTAAATAGTAGCTGTTAGAATAATTGATATTTTTGGAAACAGCAATTAGCGTAATGGCTGTGTTGCTGGACTCCCATGTAGTCAACTGTGGTTTGAGTCCCGGACCCAGTGGCTTAAGCTCACGCTGGGCACACGTGCATGCGTGCTCAAGATCCCGAGAGGAAAAAGGAGGAGAAGAGATTGCGGCGTGGCCATCTCCCCTGGGGGGATGATTTCTCGCTTCCTGTTTCTCTGTCTCTCTCTGTCTTTCTGGTAAGTGCACGCACCCTATAGCAAAAACCTCTCCAAAAAAAAAAAAAAAAGAATTGATATTTTTATTGAGAAATTTTATTTTTATTTATGATATCTATTAGAGGTATGGGTCAATTAAATGAGAAAATGTCTAGGACTTGCTTTAAAATACTCTAGAGGAAAAATCAAACAAACACATAAACTAACAAAAGAAGAAGAAAAGAATAGATGACAAGATACTGGGGCCTGCCCCATAGACAGCAGACAAGCTCCAAGCAGAGGGAGCCAGATCCCACACAGCTGACCACAGTTCAAGTCCTGGCTAAGGCAGTTTGAGAAACACTCTGGGCACCTGCGTATGTACACAGGATCCTAACAGGATGGAGAAATGGAGGAAAGAGAAATGGTCTAGAGACTGCTATTAGGAGGATGCTCATTCTCTCCGGTGTGTGTGCACATGCCTCCTGGCCAAAAACGAGAGAGAGAGAAGATAGTAAATATTGATCATTGGTGATGCTGGGTGATACCCATACAAGGGCGTACCATCAGAGAGCCTTCCTGCCCAGACTGGGAAATCTCAGCTCCTGTCAATAGGTCAAAGCATCTGAACTGACAGTATGGGTAACCGTGGACTACTTGTAACTGTTGTGTGGGAACTTGCTTATAATACAGTTTTAAGATCCTACTCCAGCCCTCCTAAATCAGAATTCCTGAGTAAGGTTCCTGAGAATCACATTTCAATAAGCTCTGATGTGGTTTTAATGCTTACAAGGAATGAGGACCACAAGAGTAGAGCGGCTCACCATAACGTTCAGGAGCCCCAGATCCACAGGGCACCAAGAACCAACCTCTTATCCATGAAGGGGTGAGAGTGCTTAGAGACTGGAGGGGCCAGATGCTCAGGCTAAGGGAGTTAGTTCTCTGGTGAAGGGGCAGCTACAGGTCCCTTTGCATCTGGTTACTATCAGGTGCCCTGAAGGTGACCACAGACAGCTCCCTTGGTCTTGAACACCATACTTTGGAGACCCAAACTAAATGGCCAAAAGCACCACCCAGCTGTGCTCCCACCCCACAGGGACCACTCTGTGTTTTCATTCCTTCCACCAAGGACTACCCTCTGCTTCCCCAGACTGACCTCTTCCATGCCCCATTCCAGGACCACGAGCCTCAAAGCTTATGCAAAATCTGTTTGGGAAGCAGAAGCTACAGCCCCAAGGCTTCCCCAGCATGCACCCACTCTGCCTAGTGCAACAAGCCCCAAAACAGGTGCCTTGGCCCTCTCATCCTGGGACACCCCAGAGAAAAGGCAGGAAACATCCAGTTCTTTAATGACCAAGTAATGGGTACAAGAAATACCTTCTCCTTGTCCTCCCCCTCACCTTGCCCCAACCCTCAATCCTCCCCTGACCTCACCATCTCCCCAGGGCACCCTCCTCCCCCTCTTCTCCCTCTTGCCAGCTCTAAATCCTGCAAGCTATGGTGTGAGACCAGAGTTCTAGAGTTTTCCTCTCAGAGTCTCCCCAGGTGAGACAATGGATCTGACCTATCCAGCTGCAGTGGGACCTTGAATCTAGGGGTCAGTTGTTTGCCTGCCTCATTCTTTCCTCAGGGCATCCCAACTCACCCGTCCTCTGGTCCTGTTCTTCCGCTTGGGAATATCTTCTTCTAAATCCTCTTCTTCATTCCCTTCTTCGACATTTTCATCATTTTCCAAAACCCTCTGAAATGAAAAGAAAAGGGTTGAGAAATAAAATGCAAAGGAGAAAACCATGAGAAGGCACTTGGGGGGTGTTCTGTTTTCTTGTTTTGAACAGTGAAGATGCTTCTTTTTTTTTTTGATTGTGGTGTGGCCGTTCTCCCTTGTGGGGTGATTTCTCCATTTTCCTTCTCAGTCTTTCTCGAGCAAGCACACAGGCTCTATGTCAAAAACCTAAAAGAAATTTGAAAATGCAGTAGGGAGAATGTGGTTAGCAACAACTTGCTGTATACATCAAAGTACTAAAAAAGAGGATTTTGAATATTCCCAACACAAATTAATGACAAATAATTGAGATGATGGGTATATTAATTATCTTGATTTAATCATTACATGTTGTATTTGTGTGTAAAAAATCACACTGTACCCCCACAGGTATGTAAAATTATTATATGTTAATAATGACAAATTAATTAATTAAGGATATTTTTTCCAAAAGACATTTTAGATAAATCAGAGACTAAATAGTAGCTGTTAGAATAATTGATATTTTTGGAAACAGCAATTAGCGTAATGGCTGTGTTGCTGGACTCCCATGTAGTCAACTGTGGTTTGAGTCCCGGACCCAGTGGCTTAAGCTCACGCTGGGCACACGTGCATGCGTGCTCAAGATCCCGAGAGGAAAAAGGAGGAGAAGAGATTGCGGCGTGGCCAT